AGATGGCATTTCAAAATAGGCTGTAACAACCCCCGATAGCTAACAATAAAACTGATAATATTATTTGGGCTCCCACCAGCCTCACCCCATCGATACCCCGGAAGTCCAGCTTGCCAAGGCAGCCCACTTCCAAGCGCATGCCGAGGCTGCGGCACGAAACGCCCATGGTCACTACAGGAGGCGCAGGTCGGCTGCTTTGTACCCCCTCCACTACCCTGTGCTGGACCACAATGGGGTACCGGTGGAGCCTGCTGAAGTGCAAGCAGCCAGAGCCAACCACTTGGCTGAACACGCCAGGGTAGCCAGTAGGTGAATAAACAAAATGAGAATTAGTAATTTATTATACATGGGAAAAAAGTAATAGCTTTTAGCTCCAGGTTGTGTTAGACAAAAAACCGTGAGCTGAAATCTAATATTTATCCCGTGTATAATACACTATTTTTTCATGTGACATAAGAAAGGACGAATCAAAATTGAGAAGATATTATATCATTTTGAAATCTGAGAAATATCGACGTGAAATTTTAAGTTTTCAACAGTAGGGGCACCTGCGTTGTAGGCATCTTTGTCATTTTTTTGGAGTAATCAAATATCTGATGTCACTTCTGTCAGTCTGATTCTGTGATTTGATTTCAAAAAATTGCGAATTTAGTGGTTTTTTAGTAATATACGTTACCGCGAAGTCGAATGGAAGATAAAAGGGCTTGCAGTTTTTTCTTGGAGACGATATTATTGACTCATTTTTCGGAATTATAGCACAACAAAAGCCATCAACAGTGTAAAACCCTTTGTTTGTTGGATAGGTATTTGAAATGCCCATCCATCAAGAGAGTGATCTAATGCTTGGACTGTTATCGTGGCCAACTGCGACAAATTTCAATGACCCATATTCCAGAAAGTACTATTAGGAATTTTTTTCCACGAAACTTGATGATGGATTCTGAATCAGTACCACTTGAAATATACCTGTACCGATTTTCATCATCATAAAACACAGGGTGTCCGAAAAACGAATCATCATTTTCATCAATTAGGGGATCAGCAAATGTAGTTCTGTAGTTTTTCTAGAAAGAAATAATCACAAATTATCATTGAGGATTATTCCAAATATTCCTGTACCAATTTTCGTCATTTGAATATACAATATGTCTGAGAAAAAAATTAAAAAGGATAGGTAAGCAATATTTTTCATCCTGATAATTCTTCACACGAAATAAAAAGATGAATCAGGATCACTTGGAACATACCTGCACCGATTTTTATCATCATTGAACACAGAGTGTTCAAAAAATATATATATATGTGATATATATCCGAAAAAAAGTAATTATGAAAAGTGACATTTTATAACCTGCCAACAGAGATGAAATGCCAAACTTTTTTTCCGTCACAGAAAAAATTCCTTTATTTACAACTAGAGGAGAGGTTTAGACGACTGTTTAAGTTATGGATGAAACTGAAAATTCCTTTGGGTACGCAGTCGAAGAAAAACAAAGTGTACTCTTGTTTCTGTTCAAGCTTGCGAGTCTTTATTGGCTCTTCATCAGGAACTCTATAAAACATTAAAATTGATATGAAAATTTAATCGTTATTATCGATTGTTGAAACACTTACGGAAAATGAGATTTTGTTGAAGCTGGCTTCCATTAACATAAATATTTTTGAGTTAATCAAAGCAATTGAACTGTGGAGAAAATTTGTTACCTGTTGATAAACGGTAATTCGAGAGTACGATTTCAGAAAGTTTGGATATAACGAACAGGTTTGTGACAAACTCATGGAAGTTACTCCTACAAACATACGTTGATATTGAAAGAATTAGCTCCTAACTAATCCTTTGTTTTCGGTCTTCGATTCATTCACAAATTGAATGGTTGTATTTAATAAGGTATAATGATGACAAGAAGATGGCGTTAATATTCAACGAAGCATACTCAAACAAATCTATTCATTTACCATAACAAAACCTTTCCCTCAGTGTACGTAATGTTCTCGCTCTTGAGCTAATTAAACATCTGTTCAATTCCATAGGTCTGGCCAGCACTACGTGGAGCCTGCTGCTTACACCTCTGGTCTCGGCTACTCCCAACCCCATTACGTGCAAGCCCCCGTATACTACAGAGGTCCTGGAGGTCCACCAGCCCAGATTGGTCATGATGGTCAGCCCATCGAGACGCATGAGGTTCAGGCTGCCAAGGCTGCTCATTTTGCAGCCCATGCTGCGGTTAGAGCTGGACAGTACGGTCATTTTGGGCACTACTAGATCAGATCGGAGTTTACACGGTTGCGGTATAGGTTCGGAGTTTGTGGTGGATCAAAAAGAAGTCACTGTGTGAAGTAGTGAAGCCACATAGCTGAATAATTATACTGGTATCTGAGTGATGGTGATAATATCTTGTATTTTATAGATGTAGTGTAAATAAAACTTTGTTGATCAATATGAATAAAAATATCTATTCAATCTTGAATGTTTTATGAACCTCTTCCATCCCAGAAAAATGCAGGATAGAAACGAATAGGTGATTTTCTGGAATTATGTTGGTACAATTGAATTCCTCGTTCATGTATGAGTTGCTTTCAAGAACCATCTAAATTGTTCTCCAAGTTATTTCTCAATTTTTGCATTTCTGTAGAATATTCAGAATATTATGTGCATACATATTTTTATATGAAGGAGAATGCAAATTCTCAACTTCAGAAGGATCTGTTTTCAAATTCTTTTTGTTTGTGTTCAATAGATATAATGCAATGTTCGTCGTGGCATATAGCCAGGAAAGTAGTTCGAAAATTCTCAATGTAATTCTTTATATATATCCATTTTTTTATGTTCATGATTTTATCTGAGAATATTCCTTCTCAAGAGAATGATATTGTTCCTCAAATTCAAGACTGTGTATGTTATATTTGATTCGTTCAGATTAATTCAGTGGAGTTTATTTTCAGAAGGAAAATATTGATCAAGGACAAGGATTAATCTTCAAAGTGAAATGAACTTCTTCGAAGGATCATTCCTTCCTTTGATTCATCAAGGAATCAAGTCACCCTGGTCTCGCTGTGAATACGATACTATTAACAATTTCGGGAATATCAACAGTAGGAATACTATAAGAATTTCATGATATTCGGATTATACACGAATAATTTGTTGCATAATTGCAAATGTCAGTTTCACAGTTGAGATAATCCGACAGCAAAGCGGGAGGATTATTCTGTTGATCTGACACGATTTGTAATTGTGCAGAGAATTTGAGATATCCTTGAATATTCCGAGGTTCGAATTGTATTGTAAAATTATTCTACACGCATCGTTTGTAAGTAACAATATAAATCCACGTATATATATATATTGGAAATTGTATAAGATAGCTTGACTCAATTGAACGTTCTGATTGTTTCAATATCATACAAAGAAAATGATCACTGAAACAAAGTAGCTTGTCAATATCAAAATCCAATTTGACTTATACCAGTTGATTATTCCGTTGTTTCGCGCAGTACGAATACAGATAATTAGATAGGATATTCAAGTTGGTCCCTATAAGAAAAAAGACTTAGACGTTTGCTTTAGTTAGGACAGTCATCGATATACGTTAGTCGGCCATTCAAAGAAGGTGATTATATTGATTATCCGCAAGAATTGTGATCAATACCCAAAGAGAATTCATTCAATTCAATTTGGATTGGTGGGTATAGATATCCAATCCAAAATTGATATACAGGGTGTCCCATAAACATAATGACAAACTTTAAGGGATGGTAGAGGACATCAAAATAAACATTTTTGCTCGATAAACATAAGTCCGGAAACTCTTCGTTTTCGAGATACAGGGTGTTGAAATTTTTTAAAAAAATCGATTTTTAATTTATATCGTAAAAACGAACCGACGAGGCAATCTTTGCATTGAAGCAAATGGACAACATTTTGAACAATTATTATAAACCATTATTATTTATCGTAAACACAAAGTGAGTTATAAATGTCTTCCTGAATATTTTTTGTAAATTAATATCAATTATTTAACACTGAATAAACAAAACTCACCCAAAATGATTTCATTTTCTTCTGCCAAAACGGACATTATGATTATTGAGTAAACAAAAAAAATTCATATGTAGATGTAAGAGATATGCGTTTTTATTTTTTTCCTTCAAAACGAAGGTAGATACGGAAAAATTTCAATTGACAAAAAAGTTGCATTTTTAGTTGTTTATTCGAAAATGAAAATTATAATTGAAAAAAATCTACTGGGCGATTTTTTTTTGTGCAAAAATTATCCGACATAGCCCGTGGGCACACCCCTGAAATTATTGGGCAAATTCTAATAGCTCCAAAAGATACCTTATAAATATTTCCATAATCTGTAAAAATTTCATCAAATTCGACTAAATAGTTTTAACGATATTAATGAAAAATCGATTTTTTTTTTAATTTATCACCCTGTATCTCGAAAACGGAGAGTTTCCGGACTTATGTTTAACGAGCAAAAAAGTTTATTTCGATTTCCTCTACCATCCCATGAAGTTTGTCGGTATGTTTATGGGACACCCTGTATATCGAATGAATCGGAAACGTTTTTGATGCCATGAATGAGTATGTTATATAATAATAACTGAACTGTGACGATAGAAATTCGTTCAGTGTGTCTTTCCAAATATACGTAGCTATGACAACATACGTAACGCACGAGTAATTACTGTACCTGTACACATTTTCCTCGAACGTTAATTCAATTAGAAACAATCAATCAGTCAACTTTTATAAGCCTCACTGACCCTAGATTGAAGAAAAACTTGTTCGTCGAATAGCTCTCCACTGCCAATTCATTATTACGTATGGCTCATATCTCCCCCATTTCGAACGGTATTGTTTTTTCAAGAATTCAAACAAGCAATTCATGTACAAGATCAAGTACAGCTAGGCAACCAGTTTCAGAACAAAAATGATATATAAAAACTAGCATTCGCGTAATTGTTAAAAACCTATCGAGATAATATAACTTGTTTGAAATATGAACTAGATTAAAATATCATCACACTTGATGAGCATGTTTTTCGAAATTGTTGAATGTCTTCGCATTCCAAGTGAATTTTTGCCCTATTTGGAAAAAAACAATATCCAATGTCATATTGTACTACATACTATAAAATGATGGTGAACTTATATAATTCTGATAGTTGATCTCTAACGATCAAAAGTGAAAAATGATACATGCAAGTGCAGTTTGCACATGATCTTGAAATCTCTCAGTTATTGATCACCAAATTTCTTAGAGGTGACAATTCTCATGGTTGTTTATTAATTAATCAAATAACTACCAAGGCGGGGTACTTTGTATAAAATGTAAAGGTCACTCTTATTATTTCTAATAGTGATTGCAAACTCTCTTGTGAGCACGACAAAATGCAATTGGTAAGTAGTACTTTCAATAATTTGAAATGATCTGGAACAACCTTTGATCCGATAAGTGCATTCATAAAGTCCATGTGAAATTTGATGAGGAATTTCTGGGTGCGAAATCATTAGCTGGGTGTATCCTAATGAAACAATCATGCTAAGCGCTATACTGAGCAAGAGGTCAATCATAGGCTCATTTCAGTTCGGTGTAGTCCTCATATACTTTTTTCTTTCTTTCTCCTCTCCCTTTTATCCTCTTGGGCGTCGAAATTGAGCTAATTTTTTGTTGGGTCGTGTATCCATTGTTTCCATGATTTCCTATTTTCTGTCAGTATCTTCATCTCTCTCAACGACTTCTCTCTTTTTCTTCATGTCTCTGTTATTTGTTGTATCCATTTCTTCTTCTTCTTTGTTATGCTTCGTGTATCTCCTCCGTTATTCTATTTGGTTCCACCCTCATCATGTGTCCATACAAATTCAATTGTGTTTTTCGCTATTTTGTCAGATTTTCTCTTATTGTTTCGTTCCTTATTCTATCCAGCTTCGTTTTTTCATCTATCTTTCTCAGGTATTTCATCTCCATTGCATTTATTTCACTCTCGTGTTTTTTTGAACAGTCCAATTCTCAATAGCGTATAGTATGGTTAGTATAACAATTGTATAATATACACTTAGTTTTGTTTCTTGCATCAATTCTCTTTTTCCTAATATCTCATTCAATGAATAGTATATGTTGTTTGATTTCCTTGCTCTATTGGTTAATTTCAGTTATATTTTTCCATCATCCATGATAGTACTTTCTAGGTATCCATATGTTGTTACTACTTCCAATTCTGTTTCTTTGCATAATATACTTGTGTTGGTATAGGTAGTGTCCTTTATTTATTACCATCATCTCACTCTTTTTCGTGTTGATTTTCATTTTCAATTGTTCCATGTGTTCTGTCCATATATTGATTAGTCCTTCTATTTCTTCTTCAGTATCACTATCAATACAATATCGTCTGCATACATTAAAACTTCTATTTCAACAGGCTGTAGGCTGTGATATCCTATTATTGTCTGGAGCTATTTTGTTTTTCTCCCAGTTCTTACCTTCAATTCATTCATAACTATTGAATAATAATGGGCTGAGGCTGTCTCCTTGCTTAATGCATTTTTTTCCATTCGAATTCTTTCGATCTTTCTCCCGATATTTGTAGTTTTCCTTTTACCGTTTTGTGAATACTTCTTATGATTTGTATTAGTGTGTTCGGTACTTCAATTTCCTCAAGACATTTCCAAATTATTGTTCTTTGTATTGAATCGAAGGCTGCTGAGGTCGATGAACGCCGGTAAGAGTTCCTCCTCATTCTCCATCCTCCTCTCTATCAAGTTACTCAGTATGTATCTGTTATCGTACGTCTGTCTTTCTGATCTGAAGGCTGCTCGTTCTGATATACATATAAAAAATATCAGCTCATCATGACAACTTATTGGTATCTGAGACTCGAGTTCAATGTAAAGGGGATGATTTCCTCCTCAGATAATTTTGACGCTGATTGCTAGCAGCCAAGCAGTTTTAACCTCTCCAATTGGCCTCAACATAGGTCTAGAGCCAAGACTGCACCCAATCGAGTCCCTTCACCATTCACAAGACAAACTTGGACACTACGCTTATGGGTATGCAGCACCTTTAAGCAGCAGGAGTGAAACAAGAACTCCAGATGGCGTCACAAAAGTGAGTATGATGATATTCAGATTCGGTGTCTACATTATCACTGGATTTTATTCTAGGGTGGCTATTCGTACATCGACTCAGATGGTGTCCTTCAAACAGTGGAATACACCGCAGATCCTGTCCATGGTTTCAGAGTAGCCACCACTAACTTGCCAAGAGATCTGCCAGACGTAGCAGCAGCTAGGGCACAGCATATGGCTACCTATTCAGCTGTGGCAGCTCAGAACGCCAAAATCGCTCAGTTACTCTCTGTTCCCTACTCTAATCCCATAGCTGTTCCACAAAGTAACGTTCCTCGAATACCAATAGACCAACAGGTGAGTTCCAAAAACCACTGATAGAGGAAGGGATCACTAATAATATCTCTTTCAGCTTCCACAACCTGTAGTAGACTTACCTGAAGTCGTAAAAGCAAGAAACGAACACCTAGCTGCTCTTCAAGCTGCTTACGCAGGCATTTCCTCCTTACCTCAGCCTGTCCAAGACCTTCCTGAAGTAACCAGAGCACGTGCCGAGCATTTAGCTATCGTTGATCAGCTAACACAGCAACACGCAGCGCTAGCTAGCCAAGTCAACCTCAGCCCTGTTCCAGCAAACATACCAGGAGGTGTGATTCCTGTCAAAACCGCAGCTGGCAACTACGAGCCTGGTTTGCCTGTCAACCAGAACCAACAGGTTTCTTATACACCTCTGCGATATGGAGATGCTGAAGCCAAGGATGGGAATGATCTGCAGCGATACTCTTATGGATATGTTGGTGAGTTCGATATGAAATATAAATTGGCACATGATATCGAATATCCGGCATATCGAGAGTTGATCTATATGATATCTCACTTCGAGAGCATTCGAATTTGACTAGTACGTATTGTTTCAAATTTCAGGTCCTTTGAGTTCTCATAATGAAGCTAGATCTGATGACGGCGTAACTAGAGGAGGTTACTCCTACATTGATGCGAATGGAATAGTTCAGAATGTTCACTACGTGGCTGATGCTGTTAACGGTTTCCGAGTGACAGCTTCCAACATCCCTATTGACGTACACCACGTGACTAAGATAGTGCCAGAATCTAGAGAGCCGATAGTTGTTGCTCCTTCAAGGTCTCTGGAAGAAAAGTTGGTGGTTAAGGCCGTTTCTGGAGATCTTTACGCTCACGAGATAGTTTTTTGAGTACATTTTTTATTTGGTTTGATGTTTGGATTGCTCGGCCTCTGCTGCTTCCAAAATTCATAATAATCGACTTCTTAGTTTATTTCTCAATACTTACTATGTATTATGCTGTTCATTGAAGCATGCACAATCATAATATGGTCGTCATAACCCATATGAGTCACCACAAGTTATGAAGATGAAACACTGTCTGGTCTTGCAATATGTTCCTCTTTGCTTCTAAATATATATATATGAATATGAATATGAATATGAATATAAAGCATTCGGTATTCCGTGTGATTTTCCTGAAGAGAATTTCTCGTCTCCAAGAGATCAAAGAAGGCCAAACTTGTATTTATTTTATTTATATTAGTGATTCCTAACCCCATCAGTGCAGATTCAAAAACTTGCAGACTATTTGCCCCATTGATTTTATTGATATTTTCCTTTCAAGAGCGCTTTCATGAGGACGCGGGAAACCCCTGTATGCATTCTCAGGGCACAGATTGTCAAATATATTATTTTGACAATTGTAATCCATTTTTGTTTTTCATTCCATCTTCTATTCATAAAACCCATAACTTCCAAAAGTTTAATAGGGAAAATAAAAAAGTGAATGACCTCTCTCCGAGAGGACAAATCTGATGACCGCAGTGGGATGTTATTCAAGAATCTAAGAGTTGCAAATTTCTTAGTGTGGGTAAATTTCAAGAGCAGCGGAAAAATATCCAAGGGTAGGTTGAACTTTTTTGACACCACCAAGTATATCTCGAGCGGTGCGTTCTCATTTCCGCAAATCAACAAGGCCGTAAATTATCGGTACCCGTGGCCACAGAACTTCCCAGATAAGAGCCACTTATAGTCCGATATGCCCGAAAAACCAATTTTACAAACCCCCTACAAATTGCCACGCTCGACCATCGGCTAAATCATCCGAAACAAAAACAGCGCAGCAGAGCGGCCTAACTCGCGGCTTGTCCTCTCGTGGCCAATATATTAAGAGCGATCCTGCCAGGATAAATCCAAGGATGTAATCAGGGCTGCTAGGTCAACAGAGGCGTACCTTAATGTAGGCAGTAAAATGATTGGTGGCTGAAAATATAGGATATGGTTCCTTAGCTCATTTTGAGGAAAAAAGTTCATATCGCCGTTCCAGAATAATAATGACGTAACTGTAATTTTTTCGATTACTCTATCTGGAAGAGATTCGACAGAATTGTAGTAAAATATTTGGCATCTCGATGTAAGTTACGTCTTTATCGAATTTGTATCAATTGGCTCTATTTCACTGGAAGAAAACTGTCGCAACGGTCAGTTATGAGAAGTTTTCTATAAAAAGTTGACGCAAGTTATTTTTTTCCATTACAGAAACGCCGTAAATGTATCTTGAGAGTATTATTAGATCTGATGTTTAGTACATTATTTTGGAGAAATATCGAAGTGTGTGTTTTGAGTCATTGTTTATTTCTCAATTGAAAAAAATAATGACATAACTATCCCATGAGTCATTTTCTCCTCTTAAATATTATCTGGTTCTCATCGTAATTGCACTTTCAGGCTATATTACATCGGAATATTTAGATTCAGAATGACATAAAAATAACAATTAAACGAATTATGAATGGAATTGTAACTTTTTCACAGTAATTGGTCATTCTTGTAGATTATTATGAACTTTCTGTTCTAATCTTCACATTTAAAATCCAAACTGATTCATAATATCGATGGAAAAGATGAAGATATTGACATTCTCAATTAATTTCAGACACATCAAAGGGTTGTAAATCTCTGGTTGGAACAAATATCATTTCCGAATTACAAATTTTCTGCTTCTACATAAGTGCAATTCATCCTCTTGGAATCATCTTCCTTGCAGTAAATGATTCGAAAAACTCTCTACATCTTTGTCCAATGAATTTTAGAGGATTCTAGTTTATACCATTGCTCATGAGTGAACAGAAAATATCATCTGTAGTTGAAATCAATGAGATCCTTCATCTGTTTTCATTTTTGAAATCAAGGAAATCATTAAAAGTGTTGACACAATTGACTAAGATGTTTTTTCTTCCAGCATGAATAAAGATATAACTTCAGATATCCATATCAAATTTCAAAATATCATCTCTTTGAACATACTACATTGAAGTATGAGGGTATACTTCCAATATATCGAGGGTTCAAACTCATAGTATAAATCGTCTATTTGGAAATCGGAGAATTGACGTTTTGAATTTGTTTTTTCCTTCTCCTGTAAAATTCACTTTTTTGCATTTGCGTCATTATTATTCTGGAGCAGCGAATGAACATATTCCCTAAACCTCTTGTCTTTCGAAATATAGGATGTTAACATGTTATTTTCTCTCTATTGATTAAAGAAACTTTCAAAATGTGAAAAACTGACACTTTCATGAATACTTGTCAAAATTAGACCGCAACGTCTCCGATCAAATACAAAATAGGGCACTAGCCTACTAGTTCAAAATAATATCTTTATGCCTTGAATCCATGAACATTGTTTTTATTTTTTCACACAAAAAGGGTTCGTCGGACGGAAGAAAATCAGGCAGTCAAAGTGTTGCAAAAAAATTAGGATTTCAAAAATTGCTTTTATTCTCGGAAAATTCACGGGAGTACAATACTTTTTTCAAAAAATCTCCAGGATAAATCCCTCACATAAGCCACTGGTAGAGATATTGACAAATCTTCTACATCTAAAAATGCATATTGGTGCTTAATAGGTGCATGTCAAATTTCATGATATAATCTAGAACGGTATTGAAGTTATGATAAGAAAACGATAGTTCTCTTAAAATTTCAACACCGTATAGGTCGAAAGTTAAGAGGTTTAGGGCATATGGTCATATAAACTCTTCTCCACAAGTTGAGCTAGGGAACCATATCCTTTATTTTCGGCCATCAATTAAGTTTCAACCTGTATATACATATCAATAATCAATTTCATAGTCGTAATGGATCTACACTTGTCATTCCAAATCACAAAACCACAATGTTCAAACATAGTTTTTTATATAACGCAAGTAGATGTTATAATACACTTCCCAGCGAATTTAGATCCTACACTCTCAGTAACTTCAAGAAAAGACTGAAGCATATTAATTTTACAATTAATTAGGTTGGACTGAGGTTTACCAATTTTTTCAGTTGATTAGGTTCGTGCACAATGGAATGTGGTGATGTCATCTTGATTCTCTTCTGGTCATCTAACATGCCACACTACTTTTTGCCTATTGTTTATTTCATTGTTTTCGCTGAAATATCTATCGAAACATTAATTGTTTCTTTCAGTTCATTTCTTTCGGGTAGTCAAATATTTCAATACATTTTATTCAGCAGTTGTGTGACTGTTGCATTTCAAATGTTCCATGTTTCATCACTAACACTCCCCAATCGAAGATGTAGATGAGATGAATGTTCATTGATAAAACTTTCCATCAGTCAATCTACTCCTTTGCTGCCATGCGAAACATATAAGTTTTTCTCAAAATGTTATTGAACGAATTCCTCAGTCATTGTCAATTTTGATCCAATTTCATCCAAATGTCTTGGAACGTTGCATAGCAACATACTTCTCCTGCCTAGGCAGAGAAGGTACACCTTTCCTGTCTGTTAAGTGTCAGAGAGAAGCCACTTTCCCTGCCTCTTTGGAGAAGAAAATATTCTTGTCCAAAATAAATGACATTCAACAGTCAGAAAAAGTGTATTGCCATGCAAAGTGATAATTTGAATCAAATTGGTAATCAACATTGACAAATATGACTTTGGGTGAACAAGAAATTATGAATTATTTGGAGTTTGCGTGAAATTGAAACGAATTTGGGGAGAAAATTATGTTTCACATGGCAGAACTTAGATTTAATGCTTTGGCCATGAAACACCAGCCACTGCAGTAAATCTTGTACTTGTCTGTCTAGTAAAACAATCCACTATTGATTGATCTTGTTTGCATTGACACCTAGGATGACTCAAGAAGACCCGAAATTGATTATTCGTCACTATTTTTGAGCTCGTCTTTTACTCCATTTGATGCAATGAACTGTGGTTAAATGGCCCTTTTAGTAAATATGTCATCGCGAACTATCGAATGGTTTACAGTGATTTCAACACTGGACACTCAAATCAGATCATAATCTACAAAGTGCTCAATTTCTATACTTTCAATCGTTAGAACACTTAAAATCAATGGTAAATTTGTATATAGATATGTTTATGAAAATGTCAGAGCACATTACCTAGATATTTATGTGTATACCTGAAGAAATACCATTAATACTGATATTAGTACAGGAAGGTCTATATAATTATTTTGATTCGTGAAATCGGTAGTAGAACATCACAAGTCCTCTGGCAACAATGCTCACAAGACAACAAGCTTCTTTGGAGAATCAATTTTGAGATTTTCAGTACATCATTCTTACAATCATACCATTTTCCAAAACATAGTTTCCATCATTATAATTAGTAGATGGAGTTCGAAGATATTCGTATCTTCCATACTAATTTCCATACAACAGGTTCTTCTTATTTATCATATCCTCTTCATTTTTCACGATTAATTCATGAATTTGAGGTGGTTCAGTGAGTAACAAAGACGGTCAATATCATTATCATGTTATCGAAGTGTTGAAGATTTTTCATAGGTTACGTCACTGTTCTATCCGGAATTAAACGAGTTCCTGTGACCCAAGTTCACACAATCTGACCTGTCTTCAAGAACCAGAATTGTTACTATCTCTTTCTCATTCATGAATTCGTCTCACACAGCGCAGGAGAACGACCATTTTTCGCAAAGATATCACATATCAACATGGCGTGAAATTGCCGGATGTTTTTCTTGCTGGAAAAATAAATGAAATTCTCCGATTGGGTAAAAAGAAGCAGATCATTTGTTGCAGGATCGTTTTATAGCCTGCTGAGTTGATGATTGAAACCAATCGGCAAGGTCATGTGAGAAAAAGGATAATTATTCACTTCTTTCGATCTTCATCTTCAGCTTAGATGCTGTCTATACATATCAGTTGGCCAGGTACAAAAAACAGAAATACATAGTTAACTCTGGAACGACTGTGATTTTGTTTTGCTTCCTGCTAGTTTGAGTGCTACATTTTGTATTTAGAAAAAGAGCCATCTTGAAAAAAGTCACGAACATCATTCAATGTTCGTCGTGGCATATAGACAGGAAAGTAGTTGTTTTCTGTTGAATAAACCTATAAAGGATTGATATTTTCATCACATAGAGAATGCGAATTCTCAATGTATTTCTTTATATACAGGGTGAGTCATGAGGAACTGTACATACTCCTAACACGAGGAGAACCTCATGACCATAGGAAAGTGTCTTCTCTTCTTCACTAATATATAGGGTGAATTATCGGATTTGGCAAAAATGTCTTTTTGTTATAACATCCCAACAGCTTCTTCGATTTGTCTTATTTTTTCATGAAATATACTGCTACTACTATCTTATCGACTGACCCATTCAGAATCAGGAAAATCCAGGACCGTTCCCGAAACATTTTGCTACTTCAATTTGAATCAAAAAGTTCATCCTGTATATGTTTTTTGTGAACTGTGAGAGGCAATGTTCAAAGGTCACAAACGAACATCAAAAAAGAAATATCCAAAATTTTCCACCGATTTTTTTAAAAAACGATACATTTTTAGAAAAAAACGAAATTTTGGCGAAAAATTCATTGATTTACAGATACCCCGCATCCACTGATTCGAAGAAGATCTGCAGGGTGATTATTATACCCTCCACAAAAAAATAAAACGACGAAATTCAGGCCTGGAAATTGAAGAACATGTTGATTTCCATTGAGCTAAAGCAATGTCAGTATTACTTTGAATCGTAAAATTTATGCGTTGCGAAATATTTATTTTTAAATAAATGTATTTGTTGCAACAATTTCGTCTTTTCTTAGTTTATCGTTTTTTGAAAAAATTGTGTGAAAGTGTGAGAGAAATTTCGGATATTTCCTTTCCGAAATTTTTTGAAACCTTCGAAGTTTTCCTGTCACAGTTCAAAAATACCATATACAGGATGAACTTTTTGATATAAATTGAACTAGCAAAATTTTTCAAGAACGGTCCTGGATTTTCCTAATTCTAAATAAGTCAGTCGATTAGAGAATAGTAGCAGGATATATCATGCAAAAACCAGACAAATCAAAGAAGCTGTTGGAAAGCTATGACCAAAATATGTTTTTGCCAAATCCCATAATTCACTCTATATATTAGTGTAAAAGAGGAGCAGACATCTTCTGATGGTCATTAGGTATTGCCCTCAAGTGCCTCTATTCGTGGTTGGAGTATATACAGTTCCTCATGATCCTGTATATAACCATTTTTTTAAGTTCATGATTTTGTCTGAGAATATTCCCGTTCAATTATTCTTGATTTGAAATAGATAGGTATACTCCCAATTTTCCTGAGACTGCAAAACTTGAAAGATATTTGGAGTGAATTATCATCGATTGCCAATCTATATGATAATGAAAAGAAAATATAGTGGATATTTCAACGACTCTTAGGTTTTTTCAATATCCCATCTCTCAGGACAATTCAAATGATGAAATTACTTTTGTCAAAATCCTATTAGTCGTTAGTTTTTTTCATGTACAGATCTTAAAACTCATATATTGTGCTCAAAATTGTTTGTTCAAGAATTCATAATCGTTAAATATATGTGCAAACTTCTGTATTTTCCCTCATTCCCTTCATAATACTCATCATAAATTACTCGAAATAATAATAAAGTTTTACTGGAACATAAAAACGTATTCATATATTTTATCGGCATTAGGCTGGTATCACTGTTTAGACAGCCTTGCAAAAATAATCCTTAATATATAAATTATATACATGGAATGTGAAATATGTAAAACGTTGTTTATTTTACTCATTATCTACGACTGTGTCACCTCAACAAATACTTTTCATATTTATTCCTGTCTGAAAATTGGAACGGCTACGAGGTGAAGTATGATAAACTAGTAAAGTATTAGCCTTCCATATTATAAATCAGCAACATTTGAATGAATATCACGATACAAATAATATGAGCAATGAGGTATCACTAGTTGACGGTAATAATAATACATAAACAATACATGGAATGTACCAACAAGTAAAACCTTGTTATCCTACGAATATGGAATAATGACATTCTGGTATACCCAATTAACATGATGAACAATAGAAAATGAAAAAATTACACCGCCTCGTGTGAGAGTCGAACTCACAACATGCCCAACGTTCTGCTATATTGAGCTAACGGCACATCCGTCAATCAATCGGCAGGAAGGTCTTGTTCTTATCACACATCAGGCGGCAAAATCTTTCGAATTATTCTCAATACCCGCATTCAAAATTATTTCTTCATTCTTTCAGAGACCATTTCCAAGGTATATCATGTCGTCATACTAAACTACGCAACTCTGATTTCGTCGCACCCCAAAATTTTGTCCCTGTTAAAATATAAAGAACTTTTTTCTGCTCTGAACAATTTTAATTCGTATTACACTGTTCGCAAGCCCAGTCCTTCAGCTATAATCAAGTACTTTTTCTAAACAGTAGGTTCTTTATATAAAATCGCTACAGCCGCTACAAGGTGTCACCTGAAACTGTAAAAAATTTCGGAATTTTCCAGAGCATCCCAAATGAACAAATACTTTTTTTTCAACTTCGACTCCGACAGCAGAGGCATGGAGATGATCTCATTACCTAGGGACATTTTTGAAATTGTCTTCCTATCTCTTTTATTCACAGAGTGATCTCAAGAAAATAACTTTCTGATTTTACAGTCACGAATGTTTTCCTAGTGACCATGTTTTCAAAATCTCATTTTGGAGCTGAAACTTCAGATGAAGAGATATGAAGATCAGAATTGACTCATCATTGACGTTATACAGTGTGTATCACTTCTAATAGAAGCGCACCCCTGTATGTTTCGGAATTGTTGAGTTAGGATTCTGAATCTTACAGGAGCGGGAGATATACTGAAAATAAACACTATGACCAAGTGGAGTCATCAATAGTGATGAACACTGCTCGTCAACAGCCATGGAATCACCCAAAGAGGACTCCACTTGGTCATAGTGTGTATTTTCAGTATATCTACCGCTCTTGCGAGTTTCGGAATCCTAACTCAACAATAATTACGAAAGATACAAGCGTGCTTTCATTAGAAGTGAGACATACTGTATAATGTTCATCTTGAGTCAATTCTGATCTTCATATCTTTTCATCTGAAGTTTATGCTTCAAAATGAGCCTGAGATCTCGAAAATCGGTTGACAAGGAACAAAGTTATGACTGCAAAACCAAGATAATGAGATCATCTACATGCACAGTTTTAGGTAACACCGTGTAGCGATTTTATGTTGAGAACCTTATGTTTTGAAGAATTACGAGATTATAGCTGGAGGACTGTCCTAGCGAACAGTGTGATCCGAATTCATATCGTTCAAAGCAGGAGAGAGTTATTCATATTTCAACAGAGCCAAAATTTTGGGATGCGACGAAATTAGTGTTACGTAGTTCAGAAGCTTCTCAGCCTATCTACTAGCGAATGTACCTATATCAAACTAGCTGGATTGGTTGGCAGAACGAAGAAATGATTGGTAGTTTCTCTCCATCTTCAGAACGATACATGAATGTCATAATTCCACATTCGATTCGTGATTCTTAATGAAAACCAGCATCATCATCAAATCTTTAAATCAGTTTCACCTATTTTATCTATGTTATTGCCGCTGTTTGATTTCTCGTTGACGTTGTCATATTGACTGAGGGTTTCCGTTGGGCAAGTGCTGTTGCCGTTATTTCCTGCTTGGATATTGGGACTGCTGGCTACAGGGAATAAAGGGATAGTAGCTTTCTCGCCAGCCATTATGTCTACGGCTGTGGGACGCATGACAATGAGATGGCCGGTGTCATCTTCCTTTATCATGCAATCGCAGTCCATTTCGTCACATTTCGGACACCTATCCAGTAGGTCCGACCTAATGGAGTTCTTGAATTTCTGAGGAAGAAAAACATAATGATAATGGATAAAGGTGCTACTGTAAGTGCATACGGATTTATACTGCAATCCTTCGGGTCTTACAAAGAAATTCTCTCTCATGTTGATGGAACATCGTGCCTGCCTAGGGTAGCAAATCAGAGGAGATAGATGTTGGAACTTTTTCTATACACCCTCCTTGACAAGAAATTTCAGATATACGCCGTTCAATAAACTGACAAAAAAAAAGTTTGCTGAATGTGCTTGTCAAATTCGTCTAAAAGGTGATGCTGATGATGGAAAGATAACTGAGATATCAAAAAATCATTTTCCATGGAATTATCAATAAAAAACCAAAAGATTGTCTCGTACCTGAATGTCTTCATTAAGAGCATCAGCGTATGTCTCGGTGCTGAATCTAGTATGTAGAAGCAATATTCTCTCTTCAGCAGAAAGAAAAAACTCTTATTGTTTGTCCCAGAAGTTCTATTGACTATACTAATATCATTATGACCTCGTTCTGGTATGATCAGCTCAGTTAACCACAGTTATTTTCAACTGGGCCTTTGTTAGCTAGTTAGTTAGTGGGATGAGCAAATGTCACCTAAAGGAAGAACTCAGGAAATGGGAAGGAATTGAAAAGTCCTCCTACTGGAGAGCATCTCCAGGTCAACGACAAGCGAAAAGGTTCATCAACCATTCGCAGAACCGAGCCGAACAGCTACTCCGCCCCAGCAAACCAGAGCTAAAGCTTATCACAGGCTTTCTCACAGGACATGGCCCTCTGAGGTACCACCTCAAAAAGATGGGCCTGGCGGAGACTGACACTTGCCGCTTTTGTAACAATGTGACCGAAACCGCGGAACACATACTTTGCTCATGTGAAGTATCAGTCCGCCAAAAGCTGAACCACCTAGAACAGGTCTATCTCAACCCTGCTGAGGTGGAAAATTCAACCGTCAGGAGATTTGTAGGCTTCATCAGAAGTCTAGGGTTAGAGGACCAAAACTAGATAGGGGTAATCACAATAGATCTTCTAGGTCGCAGTGATCGAAAGGTCTCCCAGCCTATACGACCCATCTACAATCTAGCTAGTTAGTTAGTTCAGTGAAGGGGCAATGAATAGTAAGAAGCCTCTGTCAGCTCCAAGGTGTCCTAAGTAACTAGAACAATTTCAGAACAAAAAACAATTACGTATTCTATGAATAGGCTGGGAATCTTCAGCTCTAATATGTCATTTGTTGGTGTGTCACGTAATGTTCGAGTCTAGAAAATGGTAACAGGAATCTCCATTTGATTAAAACGTCGTAAGTATAATACATTTCGACTTCTGATACCGTGGCACTCACAGAATCAGTTTATTGCCGCTTTTCATTCTTCTTGAGGCATGCCCATTTCAGTTAGAATTCAATGGCCTGCTGAAGCTTGACTCCCAGCGAGTTTCCATATTTGTTTAATAATACGTGCTACAATTTCATATGGTGATAACTAGAGCAGTTTTTAACAGACCAGAACAAACTTGCTGTCACTATACTTTCTCGATAAACTAACCAACTATTGCGGTCGAGCTATCAACAATGTCATAGCTATATCAATTGGCAGATTTGAGTATTATGCTGGTATACCGCAAGGATCACTTCTAGCACCAACACTATTTTTAATCCATATTAACGATTTGTTGAAAGCAACTTCATGTCCAGTACACAGCTTCTAGGGCTCCAATACCAGCCAGGCAAATCAGAAACGAGCGAAAGAGAAATGTTGACAACATAAATACGAATGGGGATCCAATAACTTGGTAGATTTCAATGCAAGCAAAACACAAACATGCCTTTTGTCTAGAAAAGCCGATCCCACTGTGTCCAACATGAGTTTGTTAGGAGTAATCATAACTTTGAAGACATCCAATTTGATGCTTGGTATCACTATCAGCAATAACCTTTCTTGGGAAAATCACGTGAGATCAATTGCTACAAGTGCATCCCAAAAACATGGTTTTCTATTTCGGGCCAGGAGCTATTTCACTTCCAGTCAGCTGCTCATGATCTACAAGGCACAGATCCGACCTGTCCTGGAATACTGTTCCCATATTTGGAGTGCAGCACCCAAACATACCCTGAAACTGTTGGATTCTGTCCAAAACAGGGCAATCCGTCTCGTGGGTGATGCCTCGCTCACAAACTTACTCACTTCTCTGGAGCACCGTAGAAAAATTGGCAATCTGGCTCTATTGAATAGATATTTTGCATGAAATATCAACAATTGTTCCTTCCTTAGCAGTCCCCGCGAGATTGACCCGTCGAGTTGAGGCTTCGCACCCCTTCGTGGTCACTTTGGAGACCTGCAGAACATCTCATTCCAAAGACTCGTTCATGCAACGTACAGCGAGGCTCTGGGACACATTGCCAAGGGAGGTGTTCTCAGAGGCATATAACCTCCAGAAACTTAAGAAGAACACCAACTCCTACCTCATTTTCCTTGGTTCTCACGATGTTCTCTGAACATTACAGGATATTCCTCTTCATGGGAACCAGAACATAAAAAAAATTGTCTTACCTCAATCAAATTCTCTCCAGGCGAATTCAGGATGACCACCACCATGTAAGTGGGTATACACAATATCGATATCGAAGCAACGACCCAACCAATCGAAATCGCCCATTGCGGGTAATGGTACTGCCCGTTATTGTACGTGGGTGGCTCGTAGTCGATTATGAGGAAAACCCACAACGCGAAGATCATCAGAGGTGTAGCTATCGTCCAGCAGAACTTGATGAAGAACCCTGGATGACGACCAGTCATAGTTTTGACGTTCTTGCTGAGCCTCCAGGCTCCGTAAAACCAGGCCACTCCGATGACCTCGAAAAATGCCAGGTACATGATTGAGATGGATGCTGCGTAGTGGTCTACCAGTTGGAAAACGTATATGCCTCCCTGGAACAAAAAGCAGAGTATTGGTCAACATTGAAGAGGCATTCCAGAAGTTCAACTTTAAAGATCTCAGATTCACACCATAGTTTTGATATCAATCAAGACCTCAATATTCTGCATGTCTTTCAAAAAGGTAACTCGTCCCATTTACTAAAAGTTTTCTGAATGGTTTCATCTGTTTTGTCTTTTAATGAGCAAATACATTTTGACGGCATGTACTTCTCTTTGATTCCCTTCAATTATTCGTTATTTGTTGTTTATCTACCTTGGTTTTACCTCTATTCAATTGTAATGTCACGGTCATTTTTCCAGGTTGGCTAATATCTCTCCTACTTGTATCATTTCTTCTTCTCCACATCCATCAGACAGTGGTTATCTTAGCTATTGTTTTATGCCTTGCTCATATGTTGGAATTTTATGTTTTACCGTTCGACTCATGTTATCCTGTTATTGTCATTTGATTTTTCCGTGCTCCTAATCTTCTAGTTCAGATTTGAACACGTGTTGGTTGTTTGCCCCATCAATTTTATTTATATTTTCATCACAGTTGGCACTCTCATAAGCGTGGAAAACCCGTTTTTCCAATTTATATTGTCGGGAATTGTTTGAAAACTTCCTTCATATACCCAAAATGATATATGAAATTTGATGGTACGCTCTCTCAGGCAACGGGGCCCTTCATTCAATGAGAACCCATTAATAACATTGATTTAAACGTGAATTTCTTGATTATAGGCATCGGTAGGCAGAATTACTAGTTAGTGATTTTATTTTTTGAACTTGATGTGAGTCAATACAAAGTATGTAATCTCCTCATATCAAATTTCTTTTTGTATTGTAGACATTCTATTGGGCTGAAGATGATATTTTCTGAGACCAAAACATATCCCTACCACTTTGAGCAATATCGACTTCCACTTAAGACACAATATTAATATACAGGGTGTTTCATAATTGGATGTCAATATTTGGGGAGGCGTATCTTGGGCCCATTCTAAGAAGAAAGTTTTATATGAACGTAGGACTTAAACGTCCTAACTTTTGAGATACAGGGTGGTAAAGTTCTCAAAAATTAATAGTTTTTTATTAATATCTGTAAAACATACTTCAGATATTCTAATGAATTTTGGCATACATGTACTATGTATCAAGAGGCATCAGTTAGTGTGCCACATGTTTTTTGGTTGCCACCAGTGGCGTTCGTATGGAGTTTTACATACCTATTTTGGCAGACATTGATGGTACTCCACTGATTAATCTCGAAATTGAAATCATTCCTGAAATTCCCAATCATTTCTAAGCAAATTTGATCACCACAATTTTTTCAATCTGATGCACGGTTTTCGCTTGAAAAAATAAAAAGCTTTTCACTACATGCTTATAGCAATATCGTTAATATGACAATATCACAATGCAGAGAAATAGATTTTATTTTTTAGATCAAATTTCAGTAATACAATCCATAGTTTATGAACTTTCTATTCGTATTTGGTGTTTTGGAATCATAACTTTCCATTGTAATAGGCTTTATTAATTTTTGAGAACTTTACCACCCTGTATCTAAAAAGTTAGGACGTTTAGGTCATACTTTCATATGAAAATTTCTTCTTAGAATGGGCTCAAGAATCGCCTACTCGAATATTGACATCCAATTATGAAACACCCTGTATAGACAGTAAGAAAGTGGAAGTTATCATTTCCATGAAATAATAATTGAATAATTGAACAAAAAATGTGTAAACTGAATGAAACCAGCTATCTTCCTCCATAGTTGATAAGGTATTGGTTAAAATGGAAGAGGCATTCCAAAAGTTCAACTCGAATTATATAGTATAGTCTCAATAGTAATAGACACTAAGAAACAAGGAGTCATCTCCATGAAATATTTATTCAATTATTGAAGAAAAGTTGTATATAACGGAATAAAACCAGCCACCTCTCTTTATCTCTTCACATTTTATATTGGCATTCACAAGAGATTTGTTCTCTTCATTCTTTAGCTAAGTCTCATCTTGAATATACTTCATTCATTTGGTACCCACATACCATCATTCACTTCAAGAAACTTGGAATAGTACCTTGTAGATTCTTCAGGTATTGCTCTTATATATTGGGAATATCATGCACCTATTCGAATATGCTCATATCCATGAATATGAGTCGATCGAGCTCAGAGAAAATACGGTCTCTTCAATCATTTGGAAAATCTTGAATGATTGAAGCAAAATTGAAATCATGCACTCCACCACGGGTTCTGCATGCATTTTCATCATGAAATCACATCGAAGAAATTTTGTGGTAAACAAAGGAATGATGATTCTTGAGACAGGCTAATTTTCAGTTAGGATCCATTGCTTTCTCAAGTGAATATCATTATGACAAATGAAAAGAGATTGTGATTAGTTTGTAGAAAACTGTTCCTACTTTTCACTTTCAACTTTGTGCCAGTTTTGTTCTTTTTCTTATTATGTTATTATATATTCCTCCAACTACGATTGGTTACACCGTAATGGTTTTGACTATCATGGATAAAGTCGCAAAGTAGTAAAACAAGCAAACACCTCTTCATCATTATTTTATACTGTGAAATGAGTATCAACTTTCTACTGACCTGTGTAACGTTTGGGATCCCACAAATGAAGGACACCACACAAATCATCAACACCAACACCTCGTGGCACATCAGATTCTTCTTGATCCATCCGGGGAAACCATCTTGAATAGACGTCACCACCACCTCGATTATCGCGAACTGAAAAGAGCCTTAATGAAATTTGATAACGCCGTTTTGCATCGGAAAAGGTGTTTCTTTACTTGGCTGTTCAAGGACAGGCAGATCAACATGAAGAAGAAGAAGACTGCCCAGAGTTGCGAAGCAGGCATTTTGGCCATCGCTTGTGGGTAGACTACGAAAATCAGGCCGGGACCTGTACCAAAGAGTTCACTAAAATAACAAATGATGAAGTCTAAATAACAAATGATGCAGTCTAGTCTGGTTGCTCAATTGAAGATAATCACCCATTGACAGATATATTTGAAATAAATATAAGTAAAAACAGTGAGGTAAAAACGAGAAGCCACCAATGAAGAAAAATGTGCAATTTGTTTTTTTTTGTTTCATCATCTTCCATTATTGCTCTTTTTTCTGAACGTTTTGTTGATATTATTATCAGTTTTTCCCTCACTGTTAATAGTGATTAACGTAACAAGTTCGGAAAATATATCCAAAACATTTAATTTCTCCTAGATATTCTAATTATTCAACAAGAAATCATATCCAAAGAAAACTATAAAAAATCGAGTAGCTACGTCACTGTAACTGTACGATTAGATTAGGCAGGGGAAATTCTGAATGAAATCAAGCAGTGAGAGAAACTTTCAAAGATCAATAAAATGTAATAATCTCCTAACACCTACACCAAGGTATATTCTTCTTCGAGCATTTGTCATACGAGGTGTCATGGACTGTTGATTGAATGTTTCTCTTAGGTTTCTGGTAAGGAAATATTGAGCGCAGTGACTTTTTGGAAATTGATGTATTTTTTATATGTTCTGGTTCCCACGAAAAGGGATATCCTGTGATGTTCAGAGAACATCGGGAGAACCAAGGGAAATAAGGTAGGAATTAGTGTTCTTCTTAAATTTATGGAGGTTATATGCCTCGGGGAATACCTCCCTTGGCAATGTGTTCCAGAGCCTCGCTGTTCGTTGGATGAACGAGTCTTTGGAGCGAGATGTTCTGCAGGTCTCCAAAGTGACCACGAAGGGGTGCGAAGCCTCAACTCGACGGGTTAATCTCGCGGGGACTGCCAAGGGAGGAGCAATTGTTGATATTTCAGAAGATATTATAAATAGATGCAAACATTTTTCCTGGATCACCTAAGCCTACTTGGCACTTTTATCATTATCTGTCAAACATCTCTTGAAGATAGATACTTCACAGTCCTGTGCTGTTTTGTTTGGTAGTGAAAGTCGGAAAATAGCGGCAAAGAGCCAGTTGCAAATTTCTATTGAAAATGACCAATAATTGGACGTTAGTGAACAAGTCAGAGGCCAAGGGCTGAATTTATACTCAAAGTAAAGGTTTGAGAATCATATAATACAATGAAAATAAGACTTGTGTATTCTCAAAGACATAACATGAATGAATGCGAGTCTTTGATATTGTCTCATTTCAATCATTGTGATACAGTTTATGGACCTTCTTTACGGAAATCAGATGCTTATCGCATACAGAAAGTCCAAAATTCATGTCTGTGTTTAATCCGTGAAATAAAGAAGAGATCGTATTCATCATAAACTCAAGCAAATGGGTTGATTGAGTATGCACAATCGTCGTAGACTTCACTTGTATTGCCTTTTCTATGGAGTACTGAAAACTGAACAGCTAGAATATCCCTTCAGAAAAATCACCTATAGGACTGATATCCACAATTCAAACCTGAGAAGAAAACATGGTATTAACATACCTTTGCATAACAAAGAAATCTATGAGTCATATTTTTCCTACCAGATTGCGACTGTTAGCCATTCTTTAGATGTATCGAATTTCTCTCGATCATTGAATTTAAAACAAAAATACTCTCACAACAGTTATACGAAAAAAAAATCGATATGTTAGTCTGATTTATAATATATGATGGAGTTTATCTTTAAAAATAATATCGCCTCGACATTTTGTTGCAAGACAAAACTTATATTGATATTATTTTTTTTTTCGTATTTCTCTCTAAGGGGTTTTGGAAGAAGGGGTCCACTGACCTATCTTTTCACCTTTTGTTAGCCACCTATACCTTTTCCGTTTTTTTTTTGTACTAGCATAATTAATTGTTCAATCACGGAATTTGTCATTTTGTTCCCTGGCAGACAATAAACGATTATTATTATTATCATTACTTCACCAATCACCCTCTGTATATTAATGATAATGGCATAAAAGGGTTGTCATGTATCTAGTTATTGGTAGAACAAAAAGATATTTATGTTGAAATTCGACCAATAATGGCTAATATCAAATTAGGAACATTTAATAGTTCTTGTTCATGAATGTTCATGAATAAAGTATAAAATAGCAAGATTCAAACATCAAAGTAATTCTTTTCGGCCTATATAGTCTTGGAAATGGGTACTTTTTTGCCGTTCTCAGTTTTTTTTGGGAAGAAGTTGAATTTATGTGAATAAATTCAGATGCATGGTTCATTCTGCTTGGCATTTTTTTCAAAATCAACATTCCTCTAGGAGTTGTTACCTATAGTAGGATTCTGTAAATATTTTACATACCATCATCAATCACATCCTCTACTGATGTTCCTTGTTCAGTGGCTATATTTCCTATGGTGGCAAATGCAAAAATCCCTACTAGCAGACTAGTAACTCCATTCACCAGCCAAACTGCTATTGTATCGTGCAAAATATTATTGTTGAACTTGTTATAACTAGCGAAACAAATCATGGACCCAAAGGCACACCCCATCGAATTGAATGTTTGAGATGCCGCTGTAACCCAAACCTAAAACAACCACAAAAGTCCATACACTGAAAAATATTGATATATACAGGGTGAGGCATTAGTGAATCGGAGCTCGATTGCTCGAGTACTATGATAGCAGTGATTGTTTTGGTATGCATCTGCAGATGACATTATTTCGACAAAAAAATTAATAACTTTGAAATGATCGAGATATAGTTAACAATATTATAAGAGTCGTTGGTCACAGAGGTGCTTCGAAATATGTGCTAATATACAGGGCATTCCATTTGAAAAAAAGTGATCCTGACCCTCTAGATGTTTGCTTGTTATGGACCTTGTCTCATTCACATTCGTTTTTGAATCGTGTTTCTAGTTATAATGGAACTCGAGCATTCGAGCTCCGACGCACCAATGCCTCACCCTGTATATACAAGTATTTCGGATTATACATGAGGTTGCGAAGAATCAGTCAATGCTCTTGAACACAAATGTTTGAATTGAATTCAATTTAATATGCCTGCATCATTTTGGTGATAATATGCTGTTACACATAAAAAAACACCATTTGAATACCAATTCGATTACATGTAACGTTTAAACATAGCATTCGTCAGCAATCTCGTCTATCTAGTACTGACGTCATCATTCCTTTTTCCGTATAGTCAGATGTTGATATGATTTGATATTCATTGATATAGTTATTGTTAGGGTACTCGTTTTTCGAGCTCCATCATGAGGATCTTAGTTATTATAAGAGATATACGAGGTCGGTTAATCTAGGACAAAGTCGCACATTTTCATGCTGATCATTTATCTGCAAGAAAGTTCGATGTGTCATGATCATAGTAGTGTAGGGATAGCTTTATGATCATTGTGGTGTATGGATAGCTTTAAGCTCATTTGCTAGTTAGTTTTTGTACCGATTTCTCATTCCGTCGCAGAGGCACCGCAAATGGATAGCAAGAATAAGGTTTCAGTTTAGTTCCAGCAATGGCATGTTTTATTCCAACTACCTATCAAAAACAGAACATGGCGCAGTCTCAAGCGAAAACCCAGAGACCTAGACGTTTTCGACTAGGGCATTCTTGAGATACTTTTTCATAAAAAATTTGAATCTGTCATTCTTGACGTTCTTGATGCAAAAGTTACAACACTCAACCTTGTGTTTTCTTATGAGCACCATATTGGATTTTATCATTTTTGAAAAGTCTTTTCCGTTTGATTACAATGATGTATCACACGATATATGATCGAATTTTTCCTGTTGATCAAAATTGTAAAAAACATATTTTTGCGAGTGCATTTTTTTATGTTCTGGTTGCCAGAAAAAGGGATATTCTGTATAAGAATACGAAAGATTTCAAATTTTCTTGCTCAGTTCACCCCAGTTGAAATCAATTAAATCTTGAACGCAATGAATGTTGAAATATTCAAACAAGCTAAGGAGTCGGTTGGGATGGCAACACTGTTTATCTCAGTGAATGATCATTTTTTCTCGACCACCAGTAAACGGTCAGCGTGTTATAGTACTCGGGACGTCAGTACTGCTGTTCCGTCATGTTCTTTTGTGAATTTACGTTGAAAAATCTAGAGATAAAGAAAAATTTCAAAAATTATTTGTGCATTTTCTCATTGTGTTAAAGTTCAAAGTATTCTTCTCTCCGAATTAATGTTCTTGCATATTTAACATCATTAAATAAGTACTGACTCCATTCATCATTCGCAAGCTTTGGTACATAAATCAACTTGTATTCTTCACCTTGGCATCCAGTAGTAGCTCAAACTTGGGCTTGAAGAAATACCTCATGCCCAAATCTGCACCCTCCAAGGTCAAAGATTTGATCAATAAGATGATGATGATGACGAATGGAAAGGTGGCTGTGAAATATCGAACTTTGGCTGAAGATTTGATGCTTTTCCAGATGGCAAAGTAAACCAAGATCCAAGCGCAGATAAGGCAAGCTACCAGTTCCCAACGCATGAAGTTCACATCTTCAATGCCTTTTCCGATCTGCAAAACTTTTCGGCTAGAAAAATAGAGAGGCAGCATTCAACTTCAACAGTTATATTTCTCACGATGTATTTCAGAGTTATGTTTGGACCGCCATATGTTTTCTTTGGTACTGGTAAAATGAAGGATTGCTATTCAACATTTGATAGTTCAAACTTATAATATCAACAAATGTAAGGAAGACTCTCAGAATACGAAAGATTCAAGTTGATAACTCTTGCTCCACATTCAAACAGTTATCGATTACAACTACGTCAGTTCTGCTAGATGATTCATATTCTTCAACGGTTACCTATGATTTCTCAATTGAATCAAGTAAACGATCAGAAGCATTGTTCATAATAATGATTATGATAATTTCAGAAAACCTAATAATATCTAACAACAGTACTCTGACAACAAGTAAATTGATATATTCAAGACTTGCACAATGACCAGTGACTATTACACTACTAATGCTGGACCTTCTTCAAAGCAGTAGGAAATTAGAACGGAATATTTCAATCTAGAATTCCGCTAATTCAGACAAGTCAATTGAAGATCATAGTGATAAAAATATCAAAAAGGGAGCCTATAATATGAGGAGGAAAAATGAAGCTAATTTCCTATCACAGTCATGGTGACATTAGATAGTTTCATCTGTTCTCAAAGATGGTTGTAGGCAATCAAGCTTCAAACATTTCATGGTAATAGAAGAAATACTCACTCATAAAATTCTTCTGCTGGGGTATGGCTATACTGTGGTTTGGTTTGGTTAAGGTTTGGTACCCAACAGTACTTGGTATTCCATCTGTTACCGCAGTCTTCCCAAGGCTGTTTAGCTCTAAACGAAGTGAAGAAATAGTAAATTCCGTATGCTATGATCACGCTATAGTACGTCGACATCATGAATGATATTACCACACTAGCAAGCCCAGTACCTAAGGAGTATGAGGGAGTTCTTCAATTTTGATCATCTTTCAGAACATTATTTTCAGAAAGAATGTGACTACCTAGTTTGCACTTCTGAGTTTACCTTTGAACAGAGGGCATAAATGTCCTATAGCCCCTATTGGTCCTCTTCCAGTAAATTGTCCTACTGCTAATTCCATGTAGAGCATTGGACCACCGATGAAAATCATGATGATGGCATAAGGAATTAGAAACACAGCTGAAACAAATTTATATAAGTACCTTCAGCTAAGATCTTGATGACAGTTTCAAGCTATGGCGAAAAGAATATGTCTCAGGAAAAAACGATGAAGATGAACAGAATATTACCTCCTCCACTTTTGTAACAGAGATAGGGAAATCTCCAGATAGATCCCAGTCCAACACTATATCCTATACAGGCCAAAACGAACTGAAGTTTGTTGGACCAGTGTTGCCTTCTAGGTTTGACATATTCACTGTTTTCATCATCTTCGGTACCTTCATCTGTGTCATCTTCGTAGATGAATTCTTCAGGTGGTCTGAAAACAAACAGGTTGCTTGAAAAGATGGTGAACAAGAAGTCTATTCTCACTTCATAGATGGGAATATGAAGCCATCTTCAGTATATTTTATTTTGTGTGGTAAAATGTATTCGACATCGTCTCGGACACTCTTCATCATCAATAAAAATAGTCGAGCATATCGTATGGAGCCTAGTTGAAAACTGTCGGATGAATATTATGTCTCTGACTTTTGAAGATTGCTAATTTCGTAAATATTTGCAGTCTTTCATTATCGCTTATTAGATACATACCTATAAAGATGATGTTAATAATAAATTTGTCATGTATGTGTTATTAGGATGAGCGATTCTCCAAAATAGACTGTTTAGTACCTATATAAAATATTAACCCTAAGTGAATTTTATGATAAGAAAGAATGATCAAAAAAGGAGATATATTTGTTCTAGAAAAAGCAGTTTGGTTTTTTTACTATATCCTGGAAGTAGTGCTCAATATTTCAGCATCTGATCAAAATACTAATGTTGTAAAAAATTTGACATATCAGTATGGTGATCTCATATGGAAATGATGCCTAGGAGCTGAGGTTCAAGAAAGGAGATATATTTGTTCCAGGAAAATCAGTTGAGTTTTTTACTATATCCTGGAAGTAGTGCTCAAGATTTCAGCATCTGATCAAAATACTGATGTTGTAAAAAATTTGACATATCAGTATGGTGATCTCATATGGAAATGATGCCTAGGAGCTGAGATTGTGTATTAGGTGTTGAGGTGTTAAGAATCAAACATGGAGATTGCAAGTTTACTTAGAAATTACTATGAATGTGTGAATTTATTAATTGTTATCTACAGAGGCATAATAAAACAAATATTTGCTTAAAACGAGAATAGATTGTCAATGTCAGGTGATTACCTTTTATTGTGATGAATTGAAATCAACGTTTCAAGAGAAAAAAGAATCGGTGTTCTACATGAACGAGTCACAGAAATGAGTCGCTATAATATGGTCATTTCGAAAATAGCATAGCCGTTTTTGCCACATTATCTATTCAAGTGAAACTCACATCAACTTCCACATTTTTAATTGAATGAGAGATTTTCAATACTATGCCAACTAAACAAGATTTGAATGTCAAAAACTTCACAAAACATAAGATTTCTATTGAAGGTTGGAAATGATTTTATGGAGAATGTAACTTCGACGAAACTCTCCTAAACTTTGGTTAGGTACGCAGAGTCGTTTGATGATATTTTTATAGATGGCTTTGGTATGATTTTAGTACTGAAATAATCAATTCAAATATATTTCGCTCCTGAACGATGGACGATCAATTTCGCATCAAAAACAAAAAGAATTTGGGTCGAAATAAGATTATTATTCCAGAGTTTTTGGGATTTCCTTTCCCCGACTCTATAAAATGAAAATATGGATATTACTTCAATATACGTGTAGCAAGGACAAATCAGATGATTTGCCCCAGAATGTCACTGCGTTCGAAGAATTTTTTTATCAGAGAGCCAAAAAGAGAAATTCACTAGCTTGTCAGTGACAATTTGTATTGAAAGAGTTTGGAGAAGAGAAATAAAGGTATATCGAAAGAATATCAAATTCTCACTTATCTTCGGACGTTCCGGGAACGAATCTGCTCCCGTTTTCGACATAAAAAATGGATATTTGTATGCCAAATCCGTATTCGTATTCGTCTTGAAACTCACCATGGTAAATTCAAGATTAATTCATGAAAACATCCTGTAACTCATTTCATTGCCAAGGTCACCAATTGTCACTGAGAACGGATCGAGAAGTGTCAAGACGAATACGAGTTTGCTACACAAATATCCATTTTTTATGTTGAATATTGGAGCAGATGCGTTCCCGAAACTATATACCTTCATTTCTCTAATTCAAACCTCTTTCAATACAAACTATCACTGACAAGCTAGTGAATTTTTTTTTCAGGCTCTCTGATAGGAACATTTTTTAAACGCAGTGACATTTTGAAGCAAATCATCTGATGTGTCCGTACTACACGTATATTGAAATAATATTCATATTCTTATTTCATAGAGACGAAGAGAGAAAATTCAAAAAATCTGGAATAATGAATAGAATGAAATTGTTTTGTCGGTGTTATTTTTTTTTTAATAATACAGACATTTCGTAGAAATTGGGAAAAAAAACGAAATATTAAAAGTTCAAACTCGAGACACATAATTATGTGAAAATGAAATAGAAACAAATTTGTCAGTAAACTTTTCTGAAATTCGAACAAATAAGCCTATTTTCATCGATTGATTTGAATCAAAGCAGAACTCAAAGCTCGATAATCGAAATAAATTATTTTTAAGTGTTTCCCAGATGATGCCGACTTTATAAATGACCCTGTACAACTGTATCAACTCAAGAGATATGGAATGATATAGAATATTGTGTGTTCTAGTATCTTCAGGAACCACAATTTTCAGTTCTGCTAAATTGCGAATGAAAACGTTGTGTGTCCTGATTTCTCATAAAAACCAATTAACCTGTCTTGCCATAATCAGACACATTCATTATGACTTCTGATGAAAATATGATGATGATAATATAGTATTTAATCAGAAGTAAACAATTTGAGATTGCGTATAAGTAAATTCATTCTTATCTCAAAATCTAAATATGTCAGTTCGCAATTTTATTCAAAGAAATAATATTTATATGGTACCAAGTGTACGTAGTACGTGAAAACAAGCAGCAATATCTACCTTACTGTTGATTTTTCAGGTTCAAAATCTGAAGAAAAAAACATCAGGTATTCTCGTCAAGTTTCAAGGAATATTCTGGAATATATTACGTAGATGTAATCGGTATTCAATGAAGTGGATTTCATTTATCGGTTAAAAAACCAAAATAGGAAAGTACCTTGCGAAGGCATTTTTCTATAGGTGTTTCAGTTTCTGCGATATACTCTTAGTTTCCAGTACGCAAATAATATACACCTATTTCTCTTCGTTACATGATGATGTCATAGGATTGATCGAATTGGTTCAATAGGATATTCAATGCCACAAGCAACCTGACATTGAACAAGATATGTTTTATAGAAATTGATGTTACTTCCACTGTAGATTCCTGTTGATTTTTTGAAAAGTTTCAGTAGTAACCCTATATATTTTTTGTATACATGTTCTTGAGAAAATTTAATTCTTCGTTATACATACATAATCAACTGCTGAACCTATATTAGCACTCAATAATTAGGTATCATTGTTTACCCATAAATGTATGTTTTTACGTCGGCGGGAGTACAAATTAGTTTCTCTGGTAACAAAAGATTGGCAGAAGTCTCGTATTATTTCCTAGGGAGATAATGTGACATCACCAACTTTACATTTTCCGCATAGCTCTGCGGTTTTTTTTCGGAACACCGTTTTCTGAAGTGAGAATGAGCTGCATCATACAGATTTCTAGTTCTCACTGGTAGCCTTGATTATATACACTAGTTGAATACTCAATGCTGGTAGCAAGTTAAGAATCCCTCAACTTGGAAAAAATCTTGCATTTCTGTCCCTTGATGTATATAATGTATTGTTAGTAGTCATATGGACTGTGAAACAGACCTATGACATAACAGAGCCCACTCTCACTAAATGCGTGCAGCGAGCAAATTGTGAATGAAACTAAGTGAATTAGCGACATACCAAGCGTTGATTTCCTGCAGAGGATACGACAAAATGATAGTGACCTTGCCATCAAATTTGGCCTCACAAGTCCTCATTTCTCATATAGGCTAATATGCTGGGAGATTCGTGCATCAATTGCTCTATTATTTTTTGTTGTTGGACAATATATTATGGTTCAGGACATTTTGTCAGTTAGCCTGTACAGTCGTCTTCAGCGAACATGTTACGGTTGGACGGTATAAGCGTTCTTATTGCATCAGTGATCAAGGGAGCTTACACCGTCCGTGTGCGACATGATCTCTGAAGACGAGTGTACACCTATAATCATATATTATGTGAAAAAAAGTGGAGTGAACTCAACACGTTTGAGTCGAAGTTTCGAGGTCGGAGTTGTACAGTTCAACTCGTACCAGTGCCGGATTTAGGGAAGGGCATCCGGGGCTACAGCCACAAAAAAGGGGCCAACACAATTGAGAAAAAAATCTTTCAACTTTCGGTAAACACTAGTGAACAATCATTATTCCAGATTTTTTGGGATTTTCTGTCCTCGTCTCTATGGAATAAACATATGAATACTGTTTCAATAGACGTATAGTTAGGACAAATCAGATGATTTGCCCCAAAATGTCACTGCGTTTGAAAAATGTTCCTATCAGAGAGCCTAAAAGAAAAATTCACTAGCTTGTCAGTGACAATTTTTATTGATAAATGATTGAAGAAGGGAAATAAAGGTATATAAAAAAAATATAAAATTTTGACTTATCTTTGGACGTTTCGGGACCGAATCTGCTCCCGTTTTCAAAAAAAAAAATGGATTTCGTGTATTGCGAATTCGTATTTGTCCTGACCCTTTTCGGTTCTCAGTGACAATTGGTGACGTTGGCAATCAAATGAATCACAGGATATTTTTATTAATTCATCTTGAATTTACCATTTTCATTTCCAGATTCAAGTAGTGAATACCATGTTCTATCCATACCAACTGAACAGGAATCAATGCTATTGTCTCCGTTCAGAAGGATGCAAGCAGATTTCTTGATTTTTCTCTCCTGGTTGTTATCTTCTTTTCCAATGATTTAAATATTATTCCAATCTGCCATGTGTGGTCCATCTTCTTTAAGGATATGTTCAGCTAGTTTTGATTTGTCGATGTGTCTTTTCTTAATATTGTATTTATGTTCCTTCGTGCTTACTGAAAGAGGTCTCTTGGTTTCATCTGTATGAAACTCTCCACAAACACAAGGTATAGGTACTGTAAATACAATTTTTCGACGATTGTTCTTCTTTTTTCGGTTTTAGTTGAGTCAGAATTGATCTCACTGTATTTTGAGTTCTGAACACAGTTTTCACTTGAA